CTTCATCACTTTGAAATATCACTAGAGGCTAAAGTTAATATCTTATTAATGTTAAAGTTATCCAAAGTGTTTAAAGCTTCAATTTCATATTTTTAAGTTATATTTTTAAAATTTATTAAAATAAAGCCTAAAAATAGATGGTATCTATAAACAGTCCTACCTTGTTATAGAATAATCCTATAAATCCTATAATTCACTTTTGCTAGTTGAGAAATTCGCAAAATATTATTTTCAACTTTAAATTCAAACGTTTGAAGATAGCTATTCCATGGGGGGGGGGGGGGATAGAAAAACAAGGGAGGTAATTGTGTTATTATTTCCGGGGTCAAAGGATTTTTAAGAGGGAGAATGATACCTATGATGGTATAATAGTGAGTTGACAACCTATTGAGCAGAAGACATGGAAATAATTATGTTTTGACTTTCTTAGAAAATATGAAATTATCGCTTTAAGTTCATGGGACGAAGAAGCTTATTAATTTTCAACGATTTCTGATATTACTACCAGAGTTATGGCCCTTGATCACTCTGAAAAATCTTGTGGATACTCTAGAGACCAAAGTTATCATCCGATTGATTTTAAATTTATACACAGTGTTTACGGTCATGAGATGTTGACACCTATTTATTTATAACAATTTCCAATAATTACTGCCAGAGTTATGGAAATGGATCATTTCGAAAAGTCTTGCAGATGCTCTACAGGCCAAAGTGATCATTTGATTGACTTTAAATCTATAGTCAGAGTTTTAGGTCTTGAGACAAACAAGCATACATTGATTTTCAATGATTTTTAATAACTCAGTCAGCTAAATCCATGAAATTAATTTTTTTTTAATACAAAACATTAGCATGGGACAGAACTAGAAGCCAAACTATTTCTAATGATTTTCTGATAATTATTTAATGAGTTGTTACTCTTAATCAGATTTTAGTGTATTATAAATGTTTCATTACCGACCAAAAAAAAAAAAAAATATGCGACAACTCTGGTTGACTTCCCGGACGTCTTAGCTGCATATGTTTCATTGTCTGGCAACCTATCGTTGTACATTATATTTGAGAAATGTGGAAGTTTGTAAGATTTCATAAGTTTGAAGATGGACAATAATATAGTATGTATCAACTCCATGCAAAGACTGGATGTTGTTGGTTTTTAGAAATTATAAACAGTATCGCTATTCTTTGGCACCTAGAAATGGACACGAATGGGGCGCTGTTTTTACTGTAATTTCAATGTTCAGCAAAATACTCAAATAGTCTGAATTGAATGGGAGTATTTGACATGGGATATGCTTAGCCTCGTTATTGAGTCACTTCATACACCTGGTGCTCGATTTTTGTTCCAATATTAAAATTTTCATTTTGTCTTAAATATTGGATATCAGAATCCCAACTTTTCACAGTAAGAATAGTAAGATAACAACATCATTGTTGATTTAAATTGACCAATAAGTGGTGTTTGCAATGTCGAAGACTGTGGATGATATTGAGTTAGACATGCCTCCTATGAATTGTCTATGGGGTCATAAAGTAGGACTCTATTGAACATACATTATGCAAGAGCTAAATCTGTCTATTGCAGGTCTTTCTTTAGGCCTGAAATGTTATCTAAATTATTAATTAGACATTAATTAACCTATCCAGACCATAATCAACTGAAATTTTCAGCAAATTGCCTTTACATTATCTAGTTTTTATACGCCCACATTGAAATGTGGTCGTATATTGTTGTCGCCCCGTCCGTCCATCCGTCCGGCATCCACAATTGCTTGTGGATGCTCTAGAGGCTAAAGTTAATATCTGATTGACTTTAAATTTATACAGTGTTTAAGGTCATGAGACGAAGAAGCCTATTGATTTTCAGCGATTTCCGATAATTACTGCCAGAGTTATGGCCCTTGATCACTTCAAAAAATCTTGTGAACGCTCTAGAGGTCAAAGTTAATATCCGATTGACTTTAAATTTATACACAGTGTTTAAGGTCATGAGACGAAGAAGCCTATTGATTTTCAACGATTTTCGATAGCTACTGCATGAGTTATGGCCCTTGTTCACTTTGAAAAATCTGGTGGACGCTCTAGAGGCTAAAGTTAATATCCGATTGACTTTAAATTTATACACAGTGTTTAAGGTCATGAGACGAAGAAGCCTATTGTTTTTCAGCGATTTCCGATAATTACTGCCAGAGTCATGGCCCTTGATCACTTTGAAAAATCTTATAGACGCTCTGATGCGACAACTCTTGTTGACTGTCCGGATGATATAGCTGCTGTGGGCATATGTTTCGCTGCCTGGCAACCTATCTTTAACTATTATAGTGAGAACTGCCAACTCGTTATCGAATCTCCCATAATGTATCTTTGAACTACTTCCATGTTTACATGTACAATTCACTTTATGAGTTCTAACTTCTTGATATAATTCATTAGGGTATTAGGAAGATCCTTATTGAATTTCAAAATTATCAGATTTATGTAGATGATATTAAGTTAAAGACTTGACTCCTTTAAATGGTAAAAATAATCTATTGATAAAAGCTAATGAAGTGTTTAACACATTTGACACAAACCATTTAATTTATTCTATACATTCTCTGGGTCCTCCGGTTTCCTCCCACTGCTAAAGACCCCTACGCGCAAGCGAATTATTGAAATAAAATTAAACCATATGTTAGTCTCGAAATGACCTAGTTTGTGTCGAGTGGACGTTAAACCCCATTTCTCTCTCTTGTACAATTTACCCTATAAACTTGTATGAAAAAAAATATTTGAAATTTCTGTTTTGATGTTTTTTTAAATGCTATAGTGTGAAATTTTCATATTGTAACAAAATCATAGTGCTTGTAACATCATTCGTCAGAGACTTAAATTACAGTACTAGAGTTTAATCTTTGATTTAATGCACAATTTCATATCCTTTATTTACAACACTGTTGATTAGTGCTTGCTAGTTTTACGTCTGCAAATGACATCAATGAAAGTGACCCGGGTTCAAATGTCCAATAGGTGGGTCGATTACTCTTTCTGATGATTACACTGATTTTTGGAATGTAAATGTATGTGAATATATATATGAGTAACCTCGTCATAATAGACAAGTAGTTGTTTAATTTCCGTAATGATATGACCTTCTTACCCTTTTAGTAACCTTGTATCCTTGAAGTTGATACAGCAAATTTCCTGAATCGTAAGTTCAAAGTGTCACATATTAGTGATTTGCGCAATTTAGGTTTATGTTATTACGTGTATAGAAAATAAATGTTAATAAGTGCGAAGTTGAGGTACAGTATTGTTACCAATATCAAATCTATGGAGTTCATTAACACTATATTTTTGTCATTTGAGACTAACATTTGCAATGCTAGTGGGGGGGGGGGGATTTATTTCAATAATGTCTTTGTTCACAGAATATGTTCTTTCGAATTAAGGAGGGAACCAGTGTATTACTAGAGAAATCCCACTAGGTCAGGCAGGCAATACTACTCCTTGTTATGTACAAATCTTTGGCTTATGATCTTTAGACCATTCGCCCCTACTCCTTGAATTAGACAAGATTAAATTTGAGCAATTTGTCAAATTTTGGATCCTCCATGTGTCAGATCAAAAGGCATTTGGGCAGTGAGTTAGTGCTGGCACGATATATAGTTGAATCAATGTGTTCACCTTCTCATGATACACGTATAGAATCGTGTTTGAAGCCATGGGAATGTCCAGGGCTGGCATGTCTACACATGCTATTGCCAGACACTTCAATTGTCATCAGTCCACTATTGTAAGGTTGGTGGAACGTGTTCGAGTTACTGGATCAACACGTGACCGTCAACGTCCTGGTTCACAACGCGTTACAACCCAGGCTCAAGGCCGCTACATCCGGGTCACTCATCTGCGTGACAGATTCCGCCCAGCGACTCGAACAGGTGCAGCAGTCGTCGGAAGACAAGGACCAGTAAGTGCCAACACCGTAAGACGTCGTCTAAGAGAAGTAGAACTCCGTGCACGACGACCTTATGTTGGAGCTATCCTCAGGGATCATCACCGTCAGCGGCGTTTGATATGGGCTCAAGGACACCAGACATGGAGAAGAGTAGACTGGCAAAGTGTGGTCTTCAGTGATGAGAGTCGCTTTCATCTTTATCACGCTGATGGCCGTCAACGTGTGTGGAGACGTCTTGGGGAACGTCTTGCAGACTGCTGCGTCTTCAAAATGAATCGATGGGTTGGGGGAAGTGTAATGGTGTGGGGAGGCTTCACATTTCATCACCGGACCGCCCTTCACATTTGCAGGGGTCGCGTTAATGCTGTAGCCTACCGTGATGATGGCCCGTGGAGGACACGCGCGCTACTGACATCTGTGTCGTACTTTTGGTTTTGACCCCTCTGACTTTGTACCCTTGATTACAGATTAAACATCCATAAGTGTACAAATGTGTTGTTATTGATGTGTTCCCATTTGAATATTGTTCACAATAAGAAGCAAAATAAATAAGATATGTTTACAGGATCATTTTGTTATACGAAAAACTAAGTGATGCGTTTTCCATGGCACTCAGTATATAATATAACCGGATTTCAACTGGTTTATATGTGACCTGTCAAAGTGTGCAAGATGGAGAAATGAAATGTCAAGAATGAATGAATAGAAGGGGTACAAAAAATATCCATACCACTCTAAGTTTTACTACAGAAAATCTGTTGTTATGACTGAGTTTTCCTTGGAATTTGAGAAATAAATGTGGGATGTTTTACAGTTTATTTATCAATATCGTCACAAGTTTAATTCACAAACCAGTTAAAAGCCACTAGTACAGGACTAGTCAGCTAAATAGATCACTAGCCCGTAAGTTATTTTTGGTAGCCCCGGGCGTCTGGCTAGTGGATTTTTACAACCTGAATCTATATCATTTTCTGGAACTAACATGGTTAATCTAATCCTTATTTTTAGGTACTTCTAATCGGTTCTTCTAATCTAAAAATAAATTTTCTTTTATTCTTTTCAGAAGGTTCTGTATGAAGTCCACATGGATAATGAACTGAAAGACGAATTGTGTTGTCCCATTTGTACGGATCTTTTTGACAGTCCACTACGTTTGCCATGTGGTCATTCGTACTGTCGGAATTGTTTGAAGGCTATGGTGAGACATCCGGAGCCCAGGACACGACTTCAAAGACTTTATGAGGATGAGGAACAAATTGTTTTGAGTTGCCCAGAATGTCGGCGAGGATTCATCATGAACGAGCAGGGTGTAGATAGATTCCAGTCTGATTTCAAGTTGGCCAAATTAGTAGAGTTGTATAAAAGATTAGAAGTGACATCTTTAACTGATAGTGTAAGTTTAGATAATTACCAAGAATTTTAGGTGAACTTGTAAGTTGTTAATTGTGGTGTGCTTCTCCTGTACTACATGTATTAGTACTTAGACCCAAAATACCATGGTTGTTTTGTGTAGACCTTTCTTCTTTTCTGTTTAAAAGCTATATTAAATACACTTGACATGTAGTTTATCTAGATTCTCCTTTACAATTTTGATTAGGACCCAACCCGATTAAGATTTAGTAGCCCGCTGTGGACATGGTGCAGGTACTATGAAGCCCCCAGCACAGTGGTTATTTTTACCATAGTAAATTTACTATTTATTATATACAGCCCCTTTTTATACGCCCACATTGAAATGTGGACGTATATTGCCGTTGCCCCCGTCCGGTCGTCGGTCTGTCCATCCGTCGTCCACAATTTCTTCTGAACGCTCTAACGCCAAAAGTTATCATCCAATTGTTTTAAAATTGATATATGTTGTTTACATTAGTGAGATGAAGAAGCCTATTTAATTTCAATAATTTCCGGTTATTACGTCTAGAGTTAGGGCCCTTGTTTCACTTTGTTGAACCTTGTGAACGCTCTAATGCCAAAAGTTAACATACGATCTTTGTGAAATTTATATGCAATATTTAAGTTAGTGAAACGAAGAAGCCTATTGAATTTCAACAATTTCTGTTTATTACGTCTAGAGTTATGGCCCTTGTTTCACTTTATTGAACCTTGTGAACGCTCTAACGCCAAAAGTTATCATCCGATCTTTCTGAAATTTATATGCCTTATTTAGATTACTGAAACGAAGAAGCCTATTGAATTTCGGTAATTTCCGTTTATTACGTCTAGAGTTATGGCCCTTGTTTCACTTTATTGATCCTTATGAATGCTCTCACGTCAAAAGTTATCATCCGATCTTTCTGAAATTTACATGCATTATATAGATTGCTGAAACAAAGAAGCCTATTGAATTTCAGCAATTCCCGTTTATTACGTCTAGAGTTATGGCCCTTGTTTTACTTTATTGATCCTTGTGAACGCTCTAACATCAAAAGTTATCATCCGATCTTTCTGAAATTTATATGCATTATTTAGGTTACTGAAACGAAGAAGCCTTTTGAATTTCAGCAATTTCCGTTTATTACATCTAGAGTTATGGCCCTTGTTTTACTTTATTGATCCTTGTGAACGCTCTAACAACAAAAGTTATCATTCGATCTTTCTGAAAATTGTATACATTATTTAAATTAGTGAGACAAAGAATCCTATTGAATTTCAGCAATTTCTGTTTATTACGTCTAGAGTTATGGCCCTTGTTTCTCTTTATTGAACCTTGTGAACGCTCTAATTCCAAAATTTATCATCCGATCTTTCTGAAATTTACATGCATTATTTAAATTAGTGAAACGAAGAAGCCTATTGAATTTCAGCAATTTCCATTGATTACGTCTAGAGTTATGGCCCTTGTTTCACTTTATTAAACCTTGTGAACGCTCCAACGCCATAAGTTATCATTCGATCTTTGTGAAATTTATATGCATTATTTAGATTAGTGAAACGGAGAAGCCTATTGAATTTCAGCAATTTCCGTTTATTACGTCTAGAGTTATGGCCCTTGTTTCACTTTATTGATCCTTGTGAACGCTCTAACGCAAAAAGTTATCACCCGATCTTTGTGAAATTTATATGCATGAATTAAATTAGTGAAACGAAAAAGCCTATTAAATTTCAGCAATTTACAATATATACTTCTAGAGTTATTACCCTTGTTTCACTTTGTTAAACCATGTTAATGATCGATTGATGATAGTTATCATCCGATATGTAGGAAATTTATATGCATCATTTAAATTTGTGAAACAGGTCTATTGAATTTCAGCAATTTCCAACAATAATTTCTAGAGTTATGGCAATTGTGAAGGTTTGAATGACAAAAGTGATCATGTGATCTGTATGAAATTTATATGCATTATTTAAATTAGTAAAACGAAAAAGCCTGTCAAATATCAACAATTTCTGTAGATTACTTCCAGAGTTGAGACCCTTGTTACAGTTTGTAGAACCTTGTAAACCCTCAAACGACAAAATTTATAATCTGATCTGTATGGAACTGTCTTGTAAAGACCCCCAATTACCTACAAAGGAATAAATATGCGACAACCCTTGACGACCGCTCGGACGATTTAGCTGCTGTGGGCGTATGTTTTGTTGCCTGGCAACCTATCTTTAAATAAATGATTCATAGTAGGTGTTAACATACATGCAGGCTACGCCAGTTGCCCAATCCTATTCAGATATGCATCATTTAAATTTGTGAAACAGGTCTATTGAATTTCAGCAATTTCCAACAATAATTTCTAGAGTTATGGCAATTGTGAAGGTTTGAATGACAAAAGTGATCATGTGATCTGTATGAAATTTATATGCATTATTTAAATTAGTAAAACGAAAAAGCCTGTCAAATATCAACAATTTCTGTAGATTACTTCCAGAGTTGAGACCCTTGTTACAGTTTGTAGAACCTTGTAAACCCTCAAACGACAAAATTTATAATCTGATCTGTATGGAACTGTCTTGTAAAGACCCCCAATTACCTACAAAGGAATAAATATGCGACAACCCTTGACGACCGCTCGGACGATTTAGCTGCTGTGGGCGTATGTTTTGTTGCCTGGCAACCTATCTTTAAATAAATGATTCATAGTAGGTGTTAACATACATGCAGGCTACGCCAGTTGCCCAATCCTATTCAGATATCCTGAATCAGATATTGTTTATAAAAACTTAATACTTACATTTTGATTCAGCATTAAAACAAACTGAAATGAGATCCTTATTTCAATTAGTTTTCAATCTGCATAAAAACTTGTCAATTTAATTTGATGTTCAATAATTCAATAATTTAACACTTGAGCAAAATTAATACCATTGAATTCAAGCTAATGCTACTACACTAAGATACCAGAATCATCTACATATGCTACTGTCAAGCTCACTCACATGTGTATGGATTCAATCATTGAACTTGAATGCAATCGCCTGCACTGCCACTCTGTGGATGATCTCTTGCGTAGTTCCAAGAAGCAAGCAGAGCAGGATGACTTTGCCTTGAAACGAATGCATCAATATTTTAGTACAATTTTACCTCATTTATTAGCAAAGTTTAAATAACCCACAAAAAGATCCAAGTCTACTAGCGCAGGTGGTCAAATTGGATAGTTCTTTTGATAAACGAACATGATCCCGGTTTTTGTGGGGTTTTATTTTATCATGTATTCAAAATATGTTTTGGTACTTCTGTTGCAGGAATCAGAGACTGCTGATGTTACAAGTAACAATGATGAAGACATATCAAATCGAAATTCTGTTTTATCAGTTGCTTCAACTGTTTCTGAAACCAGGCCATCTATGCAGTCAACAGAAGTCTGTGAAGTGTTAAGTAATGTTCCCACAGAACTTTGTGCTGATACTCTGGTAAAACAAGTAGAGACAGACATGCCTGTGGAGGAACACTCTTTTGATGCAAGAGAAGATTGTGGTGGTGCTTGCGGTGGTGCTTCTTTGGGATCAGTTTCACTTCCTTCAGTTTCTGCTACAGCAACAGTTAGCGATACTATTCCGGAATTCCATGACAACTATTTCTCCAGAGTGATTAATGGAGAAAGTGGGGAAGTAGAATCCTGTCAAGCTGTAGAAACGGGGGAAGTGGAAATATGTAGTAGTCGAGATAATGGACCTTGCCAAACTTTCAGGCAAAGCTTAGATCTAGAGAGGAGGGAAGAAGTTCCTCCAGTGCAACTCTTTAGTGGACCGTATGATAACTTAGGTGCAAGTGCTACATCTTCCCAGGGTGAACAAATTTCAAGACATAGAAGTGCAAGTCCAAAATTTTCAAGTGGTAATTATGACAATGTAATTGATACTGCTGAAGTAAATAAAATCGTTGCATCATCGAGTGACATCTCTCAAATAAGTGCCTTAAACAACCCAGTTCTTGCAGGATCAACCAATCAGATCAGAAGAAACAATGAATCCAGCCAATCACTGACTTCTTCAAATTCAAGGTCAAGCAAATCGACCAATGAAACACAGGATGGTAGCAGAAAGCAGTCAGGAGCCGTTTCATTGGGTTGTAGTTCGCGGCAAACCAATTCGAGTGATGATTCAAAACATAAAGAAAGTGATTCTTCAGATGACGAAGACGATTCAAGGATGACGTCTTCTGTTGTTGTAAAACCGGCTAGACGTAAACGCAAGAAGAAGAAGAAAAATCGTGTAGCATCTTTTTTCTCCTCCCTACTGTTTTCTTCATCCTCTTCATCTGACGAGAGTCTCAATTCTGAAGAAGAACGAAAAAGACTTGAGAAGAAAAGGGAGTCCACTCTGTATATGTTTTATTCTTCTTCTTCAACATCAGACTGAATCGTGCATATCATATTGATTATTTGTGCAAGAAAATTGATAATGACTTCATCCCTGTTCTAGATCTTTATACCCTCTGTGGATTTGGGTTATGTGTGGTTTATAAAAGAGTTCATAATCAGGTTCTTGCACATTTCTCTGTTCCTTGAACAGAATATAAAGCATTGAATAGGCATTAACTAACTCTTGAGGAAAAGACTCATGTATGTGTTAGATGACACTAGATGCTTAGAGAATCTGAAATAGAAAATTGTTTAATAGCTGTTGAAAATCTTCAAGTGATGATTATTTTGAATACATAGGGGATCTAATAATGATGATAATAATATTACCAATGTTTTCAGATACTTGATGCGGTAAACATTCTCTATAAAATTGAAGTAATCATCTCCTTTAAAATGGTGTCAGTTATACCCTTAAAATGGTGTCAGTTATACCCTTTAAAATGGTGTTAGTTATACCCTTTCAAATAGTGTTAGTTATACCCTTTAAATTGGTGTCATTCATACCCTTTAAAATGTTGTCAGTTATACTCTTTAAAATGGTGTCAGTTATACCCTTTATATGGTGTCATTTAGATCCTTCAAAAAATAAATTAAAGAGGCTTTTCATTAACCATAGAAAATCCAAACACTGGAGTACTTAGGGTTTCACAGTTTGCATGAATTTTTCTGTAATTGTATTTAAAACAGACATATCTCAGCAGCAGTGCAATTGTTTACATTATGTAGGCCTGCAAAGATCAACTGACGTCCAAAGGCCAAATGACCTCTAAAGAATCAAAGCACTAATGATTCTTAAATATACTCCCATGAATTTTGCATGTTTCAGTTTTCTCTTGAAATCATACTACAATATGTCTTTCCATGGATACTACTCCATTGTCCTCTTGATTATTTATTAATACATTTATGATTTCATTGTACCTCAGTATATCATATGTACATCATATTTGTCCCCCGCCTTTCGGAGAAAGCAGGGGACTATTAAAATGGGTTCGTCCGTCTGTCTGTCTGTCACACTTTTTGGGACACAATAACTCTCCTTCTAATTGAGCTAGAATGTTCAAACTTGGTGTAGGTGTTTATTAGGTCAATGCCTTGATGGAGTTCGAAGCTTTGGGACATGATAACTTTTGATCTAATTAAGTGACTCTGAGAGTGATGAAACTTGATGTATAGTTTCATTACATGAATACCTTGACTAAGTTTGATATTGAGTATTTTCTGCTCAGGGTAAGCAGAGCGATAAGCAATTTGATTGGCCAAGACTTTGGAACACAATTACTCTCCTTCGAATTGAGGTAGAATGTTCAAACATGGTGTAGGTGTTTATTAGGCCAATGCCTTGATGGTGTTCGAAGATGAGCTTTTTCTGTGTGGGGTAAGCAGAGATAAGCAATTTGATTGGTTGATTCTTTGGGACACGATAACTTTAGTTCTAATTTAGTGAGAGTGATGAAACTTGGTGTATTGTTTCATTACATCAATACCTTGACAAAGTTCGACAATGAGCATTTTCTGCTAAGGTTAAGCAGAGCGATAAGCAATTGATTAGTCGAGAATTTGGAACACAATAACTCTCATTTTAATTGAGCTAGAATGTTCACATTTGGCGTAGGTGTTTATAAGGTGAATGCCTTGATGGAGTTCGAAGATGAAAATTTTTTTGCTTAGGGTAAGCAGAGATATGCAATTTGATTGGTTGATGCTTTGGGACACGATAACTTTGGTTATAATTAAGTGAGAGTGATGAAACTCTGAGTATAGATTCATTATATCATTACCTTGACTAAGTTCGATGATGAGAATTTTCTGCTTAACCTGAGGAGAGATAAGCAATTTGATTGGTCAAGACTTTGGAACATAACAGCTCTGGTGTTAATTGAGGTAGAATATTTAAACTTGCGTAGATGTTCATTAGGTGAATGTCTTGACTAAGTTCATTGATTAACATTTCGAGCTAAAGCTAAGAGCAGAGCTAAGCAATTACATTGGTCAATGCTTTAGGACAAGATAACTTTGATTCTATCTGATAGAGAGTGATGAAACTTAGTGTGTAGTTTGATTGCTTGAAACTTTTGAAAAAAATAAATGTGCGATTAATTAAAATGTGTCATCTATTTATTTTGGGATTTCGGCGGGGAACATCAGCCTCACTGTTGGCTTGTTTATTATCAAATGTTATGGAATACTATAATCTTTATATAGTTTATTATGAGTATAGATTATTGCTATATTGAAATTTTTATATATGGTTCAAGTATACATTTTTAGGTTGCTTGTGGTTATATTATAGGTTTTATTATAGGTTTTAAGGAGCCTTTTCAGATAAATTATAAGGCATCAAATAGTGTGTGGAAATGATTATCCTAGTCATGTACTAATCTGTCTGCATATATATATACAACTACCTTCATCATTCTGTTTAGTGAAGTGTAGTGACTAGCAACGACCGCGAGTTTTACAACATCTAGCCATTGCTACATTAGTCAGAAATTCCCAAACTTATAGGTCGTTATCTCCCTTTTACCGCAGACACATGAATAATAGCGTTGTCCAATCAGGGGTTGTGGACACTTAAACACACTCAAATAAAACATTGCAACCTCTACGGAAACCTTGATATTGAACGAACCTTAAACTTTGCAACTCGATTATCACAGGTAGACATTTTAACGAACGCACAAGGCTTAGTATTCGTGACATTTTCTATCGAGGCTTCTGATAGGCCCCCTGCTGGGTCAGTAGCCAATTGAAATTAGTGACAAAATATGCAGGGTATTACGTGAAGGGCTTGATAAGATGTATGGATTTAAAGCGAGATCAAGCCTTCTATTGAAGATGAGTGAATAGTAAATTCTACATGAGTAATAATTTAAATGTTTTTGAACAGAGAAAGAAAGAAATGAAATGGGATTTAATATAATGTCTTACTTTTTTGCACTATCTATGCTGTTATGTCAGACCCATTGTGGTTTACTTACAATATAATCAATCAAGTGGCAACTACTTACATATTGGGGGGACCTTAGAGACCCAGAATCCACTTAAATAACAGTACATGTATAAAAAATTCACTTTTTATTCTGTTTCTATGAAACATGTAAATTTGAGCTTTTTGTTGTTTGGATGAAGTAGCTGATGAAATTGTATGTTATATTGGGGTCCAGATATGCACTACCAATCACCATTGACTGGTTTTTCAAACTTTCTCGGAGGATGCCCCCCCCCCACATACCCACCCACCTGCCCTGCCGCTCCACCTGCCCCTCCTCCTGCATCTTCCCGAACCATATGTCCATATGTCCTGTTTCTTTCACTGGAGTTTTATATATTAACATTGTTGTAGATATCAAAGTTATATAAAATGCTGTTATGGAAAACAAGGTGATAAATGACACTGTTACATGAGAGAACACAGTAAATTAGTCTCGTTATCCTACAGATTTGTGTTTCTTGATTTAAAGGGATACTTGTTGACTGAGACAGTGATATACTTGTACATGTATATAATACTAATATTTGGACATGGAAATAAACAAGAATTGTTTATAGAATATAATTATCTGACCACTCTAATTAATATTACATCTTTATTTCTTTCCAGTTTATGTTTAGTTAGGGAGGGGGGAGGGGCAAGTGACTTAACGGGTGCATCAGAGATTATAAGGCCTGTAACAGAATATGCATGTTGTCTATTCTTTTGGGTTTTCTCATGGTAACCTAGCTAGTTTCTTCCCATATATACCATATTATGTTACTTCCAGAATTACCTGTTTATTGTTGAGTGGATATGAAACCCCTCTCTCTCTGCTTCCTAATCAGTGTTATATTCTGTTCAAATCTGGCTTAAACATTGATATTGTTTGATAGAAACAAATTTGTAAGCAACATGATTTTGCATCAACTAGCACATCATCTGTACTTCACTGAATGGCGTAAGCTTGTCATCATTGGCCCAACCTGTGCAGAAAAGTAGGATGTTAAACTCTGTTTCATTTATGTCAAAGATATGCTCAGTAACAACAGGTATCAGGTGTTCTGGAAATAGTAACCATACCCCACATCATGCACAGTGCCTGTCACAGCTTGTAGCTTTAAGGACAGAAGTGGCCAGAGTTGTTTCCAATTTTATGGTTGATAATCGTATCTTTAAATTTTCCCTGGTTGATATATTACCTGTATACATTGTAGAAGATATATCACCAGTATACATTGTCTAAGGCTATCATATCAATACAATACTAAAATAGATGTTGTTTCTATATTCAGACAACCAAGTTATTAATGGAAACAGTGAACCTACACATGTTTTCTTACATTGATGGAAATGGAAGTATATTGTAGACCTATTTTTTTTTTAATGATAATTAACTGAACTTACAAAATATATTGTGTTTGAATTTGAATTTGTTATTCTGTCTGGTATATTTTGTCAAAATATTATTTAAGATTTGTTTTTCTATTATTCTTAGAATTTTTGTTGAAAAAGATCATAATATTGTTAGTATGGGAGTGTTGTTAACAATTTATTTTGATTATTTTGTTAACAGTTGAAACAATAATAATTGTCCAGTGGATTCATATTTTGATCTCAACCCAACCAACTTACATTAATTTCCCAGCACATTTTAGTTTGTCTCTGTTTAAACTGTAAGGAATATGTGCATTAGGTGCCTGGCTATTTGGTCCAAATCAATATTAGTTGGAGTTAAATTGAACACGATCGGATCATGACTAAAATTGGGTGTCTGGAAATCTTAAGGTGAAATGTATATAATCCTCCCCCCCTCCCTCAAAGTGTCTTAACTTCCAATTATCATCTTCATAATAACCATCTATCATAATTTTAAATCCAAGCACTGTTTCAGTCGCTAGCAATGGTTCTCGGCATCCCCACAACATAATAAAGGAAGAAAAAATCAATAAAATGATATAAACAAGAAGAATTTTATATCATCACATATATTTGAGTAGAAATATAAATCTGAAAATAAAGGGAATGGCAGAATTATTAATGTCTCTGTTTGTCATTTGATGGATGTTTAATCTCCAATAATCTATAATATTGTGAATGTTGGATCTGCTATAGAAATATCAGTCCAAAAATTGCTGTTCTGCTCAGTATTTACAAAGATAGGATGCAAATTTGTCAACATTCTGTGCAGACAATACAAACTGCAGTGTGGATTTAGGTGTGAAAAGCTTGATATTTTCTGAAAAATGCAAATGACAATTAGCGACTTTAATTTACAGGTAATACAGGCCCTAATTCAGAGGAATATTTGCGGCACTTCACACCTATGCACGCCCACCCCCACCCCCTTCACCCGGCTATGCCACTGCACTGACATACTTAAAGCAATGTATAATTGTAAACTTTACATCTGTAGAGTTTATCTTATTGAATATCCCTCCACATTTTGGATAAATTAATTTAAATGTCTAATTTGGAAATGGAATAGTGGATTGATCACAAGATTTTACACACAACCTAATATAAACATTAGTATAAGATTGGGAGCAAAATTTGAGATCATTCCAGCTTTCCAAACCGGAGGTGTGGGTTTGGCTTAGTACACAGTTTGGATCGGTACCTTATATTTTTAGTTGAAAAGAACTTAAGCATGGGATTACATAAAGACAATAAGTAATTGGGATAAATCAATTCTTGGCTGTTATAAAATGGATACAATAAAACAAAGAACCTAACCAAACTGGGTACTGAGTCCACCTGCGACACTTGGATATGTTTGTTACCTTTTTAAAACAAGGACTAGAAAAAGAGGATTCGTATTGCATCTGATGCAATATTCAAGGAACAACTTGCCAATTTAATGATTTATATAGGATAGGATATTATGATATCAAATGCTCAATTATAATATTTTATAAAATAATTTAATAATAGCACTATTTTGTTACATGAATATAAATTATATCTGTACTGTATCTTTTGTCTTTTATTTTGTGTTTAGTCATCTATTTCCTTAAAGGCTCAATACCACTCTTGTAACTGAATAATATGTCCCAATCTTTATTCTGGTCAACAAATTGTACTATTTTACAATATTCCAATTAATTGATGATACAAATTTCATCTTAACACACCTAATTTAAAAAATTGGAAAAATTCAACTAAATGATTTGAAAAGCCTGACGTAAAGCTTTTCAAATGTGACTTGGATTTAAAAATATTTTTGAACCCTCTGGACAAGTAAAATAGGATTTAATGGATAATTTACACAACAGGTAGGACACTAACACATCTAATACTTAGAATAAGGCTATTTTTTATTTTCTGGAGCTGTCAAGCCAGCAAGAGTGTTATTGTCCCTTTAACAACTGTTAGTATAGCTCCTGACCAGGTTATGGAAATCCAGCATAGACAGAAAAAAAAACCAAACTATTTTTGAGCACAAATTTGAGATTAGTTGGAGAAAAATATGATTTTTTGACACAAAATGAAATGAAATGGGGTTTAATGTCCTACATTGTACTTTTCTGCAGTAACCAGTGAAAACGGACATACAGTAATATTATGCAGTATGCTACCAGAGATATTTGGCTGGGACAGCAGTAACTCCATTCTCCACCTGTTCTTTATCAGATTCCAATTGTCAACATTCTATTTTGTGCATACATGGGACATTAGTTTTTTGTACCATCTGAACAACTAGACATTTTTCTGTGCCTGGCCTTCAATCCAGCATCCGCTGACAAGAGGTAACCAGGCTAGAAAATCCTGTGGAAATGTTCTTGGCCAACACCTGAATCAAACCAGGGATGCTATGAGGGAAATTTTACCCAGACAGCTAAGTTTCTGTCTATCATTATCGAATCTAAGCTGTCAATGATTTCATTATGTGCCTACCAACGTAGCCCTTTCCCCTCCTTAAGTCTAGCATCCAATGAGGAGGGAAAATCAGGATGGAAAATCTTTTCCCTGCCATCACCTTATAAACCTGGAACCAGAAGCCTGTGGAGAGGAGCGGGGCATCCAATCATTGATGTTAGTATAGGGAGTGACAGTCAGAAAACATAAAGTTGAATCATAACCTTTGTTTTATTTCAATGAAGGATATACACTTGTAATATAAATTGTACATTCTTTAATGTTTGAATGAAAAATAAAAACCCAGCCCTAAAATTGAATATGGTATGTCAAATATTTTAAAAGGCTTGCAAGGCTAAATATTAGGAAAATATGCAAATAAATGCTTTCAAATTCAAAATATAATAACTATACAATCATTAAAAATAATTGGTTTTAAATTGAATGATGATATATAATGAAACTATAAGAATGATATTTAACACTGAAAATTTAATGCACGACATAACTCATACAAAACAACTGAACAAACCTATCCCGATACATAATAATGAATTAATCTACCTTATACAACAAAATAAAAAACAAAAAACCTACCACATATACAAAACACATTCTACATAACAACACATATTATGCTAGAATAAACACAGATAGGATTGCCAGGCGCCATGAAATAATCTACCTTATACAACAAAATAAAAAACAAAAAACCTACCACATATACAAAACACATTCTACATAACAACACATATTATGCTAGAATAAACACAGATAGGATTGCCAGGCGCCGGAACATACGCCCACAGCAGCTAAGTAGTCTGGCAGTCAACAAAGGTTGTTGCATATTTTTTCTTTTGTCAGTAATAATGAAAACATTTACAACGCTTGGAAATCTGAATCTGATTACGAATAACAACCCATTATCAGAAATCATTGAAATTTGGTTCAATTGTTTGTCTCCTGACCTTAAACACTGTGTATAAATTTATATTCGTTGCTTCAATCCACTCTCACATATGTGGAATCAAATTAACCAGCATGACCCAGTGCATGATTAAGGCTATCAAATTTGGGCCCTGGTACAAATCTTGTGAATTGATGGTATATTCAAACTAATTACATGTATCTATCAGAAGTTTGCTTCAAATCTCTCTCAAAAGATTTCAATTGGTTGAAAACTACCCCATGCCGAATATCTATTTTATCCATTAGGTCAACGCTCCTTACGTTTTAGGTCACTTGAGGAGACAGGTTGCCTTACAGGGATATCCTCACATTTCTAGTAAGATTGGGTATCTCTCTTACTTTCCATGATATACCAAAACTGTCATACTTTTAGTGGAAATAACTACCAGTAACGATAAATAATTTTGTGGAAATGTATCTTTTAAGTTTTATTAAATGCTATTGATAAGCTAACCAATTATATATATTGAGAAATACAAAGTTTTACCAAATTTTATCAATAAGGTTAACAATTATATATTCAGGGATACAAAGTTTTACTAAATGTTATCATATAAGGTAACCAATTATATATAGCCTACACAATGTTTGATAACAATTCCAGTATGTATTTGGGTTAGATATTTAATGATATAATAAAGTTTGACTCAAATGCTATTACGACCATCACCAAATAAATGATTCTAACATAATTTTCAATCCAGATATACATGTATGGGTATTCAACCATGCTATGTATAGTATTATATGTATTTAAATTCAACCAACTAGCTTCTAAAACAACCAAAATATACAAATTAACACTTTGCTATATAAATTATGAATAATTATGCAAATGAGTAAATGAATATTATTAATCAAATCTGATTAATTTATATTAAATTATATAAATATACAAATAATCAAATCTATGGTTAAAAAAAATGCCATTATATTTATCATATTGCCCACTCACATAATTGGCTCTGATGAGGAATAGTAGCAATATGTAATCTTCTAGTAGATTCTTATATCAACATAAACAAAATACTGACAAACTTTGCCAAAAATACTTGCTAAATGTTTAACCCTTTAAACCTTGATTTTCCCATACTTTGATCAGTGTAAAGATCTAGCTTCTCTATGTATTTTTAAAGGGTAAGTCCCAGATATATGTTAGTAAATAAAACTGGTAAATTTATGGTGAAAGACCCTTACAAACCTTTATAGTTCTCCTGTGTACCTATGTTAAGAAATGCTAATTTTGAGTTGGTGTAAGTCCAAAATTCCAAACTGTGTAAGTGTCTGATTAGCCATGTCTATATTATAATTTGGAGGAATTAGGTTATCTATATTGCCACATTCTGGTCTTTTATTTACATTGTTAAACCCACTTGTATTTACACTGTCCAGTGATATTTGGGACTTTCCCTTTAACACCTGCATTTAGCAATTGACATACGTAATACAAAAAACATAATATGGAACACAATTACTATTTTATTTAAAGCGACGTTTCGTTGAGGGTTCTCTCAACGTTTTCAAATTGTGTTTCATATTATGTTTTTTGTATTACCTACATGTATATTAACAAATCAGAGAACTTATATTATGATTAAGACTGGCATGTCAATGAATGATGAGAATAGATATATATTATATATCTCACATAAGTATTCTTATATAACATAAATTATGATATATATGTACATGTATGATGACTTTATAGAACAAAATATTTATCATACATGATTGGGATGATAACCCTTTCCCATGGAAATTCAAGTTCTGGGGCAATATTACAATACGATGCATTTTAGCACAGATATCTTAAACCTAGGACAAAGAGAACAATTATGGTCTTTCAAACCCCAAAAATTTGTAGATGTAAATCATTTGGTAACATGGATTTAGATTTAACCACAAGAACATCTTAAAAGCTTTGATTTTAGTCTTTGTGACTCAATATTAGATATTCCTTGATACATGTGTTTGTCATTGGACATTTTGCTCATTCTAACCCACCTCTCCCTCAAATTGCCATGTATTCTATGCATATGCTGTAGATAATGATGAAAAACTGTAACCTGTTGTTAATTATGAATCACACTCAATCAAGTTTTATTACCCCTTATGATCAGAATTAAACTTGTCTTTGATGTGTACATGGTCAGTTAACTCAGAGAAAGTCCACAATTGAAAATGGGTGTCATTAGACATTTTGTTACATTACGACTAAGGAATAAGGATGGTAAGTTTTGTCGAAAGTGTAAAATAGTGACTTATATTCTGCACGAAACGCATAACTGATGGCTTAACTGATGTTCTGGAGCTTGGTATGGTAGGATATACTGCACTAGTGCAGTTAATGCCATTTTTGGTATAGTACATAAGGGATGATTTTCTTTAGGTATCTTCAGTATCACTTGTCATTTCCTCTTCTGTATCATCTTCAGAACAGGACAATAACTTCTCCCTCAAACCTGTTGATACCTGTCCATTGTCCACCTCTTGACACCATTGACGACACTTAAATACAGAAAAAAGAAAATTGTTACAAAATCTGAAAATATGAGCCCTTTTTTAAGAATATTCTGACACAAAATATCAGATAGCCTGCAATTGAAGTTGTACCTGACATGTTTAACTTCATTTCAGACAAACATTAAAAATAGCAATAAACATGTCAATAGGACAAAGAACCAGGGGAATTCTGCCTGATAAATTATATTTTGTACATGTATGTGACATTTTTGTTGATACTTGTACTGATAAACTTATTAGGGTTTCACACTGCGTAGCTTGTGTGAAACACTATTGTTTTTGTTTGGATTATTATTCTTATTATTATTCTTATTTTTCCATTTGAGCATATCTTGGAAACTACTTGTCTGATCGATTCGTTGTCTTCGTTTTTATTGGGAAAGTGGGTTTGACTTAAATTTTAAAACTATTTCTAACGTTCTGCGACAATGTGAAATGTCTGAAATCACCGAAGTTGTCGTTTTTCGAAATTTTGCCGTAATGTTATCAATAATTGTCGGATTGTAATATTTGATACATTTTGACATAGCCGGAGACAAGGCACATAGCTACAGTTCTTTAGATTTTTTATTTTGGACGAATCTTCAGAGATATTAGGCGCCAAATTTTGAAAATTAAAATTTTT